GACGGACGCGACAAAGAATATAGGTATGCAGAAGGCTCAGATTGAAAAGTCGCGGGCGACCAGATGTCCGTCGTACCACCCCTCAATTGTCGAGAGATCGTATGGACGGACAATATGAGAGGGAGGGCATGACTGCGCACGGATTATATGCAGGGGAGGCCTCTCGGTCTGCAGAAGTAATGATCAGCGATAGGCGATTCCGAAATAATGAAGACGTGCGCATTGCAGCGGCGTTGAGTTCTCAGCTGACTCAGTAGACCGTATGGACGAGCGCGTCAATATGTGACAGGGGGGTCTATGATGACGCGTGAAGGGAGTGGAAGTAGGGGAGGTATCTCAGACTAAAAAAACCTATGATCAGCGATAGGCGAATCTGAAAAGAATGAAGATGCGCACGTTTAGATACCAAGCCGCCTCCCTCCGCGATGAAGTATACCGGCAAAAGAACTGATCGCGCAGAAATGCGTCGGACGGAGCAAGCCTGAGCTAAGGGAAAGTCTGATCAGCAACGCGCCAGCCGACACACGCGCATCAGGTAACCCGCCGTACAGCGCGCGACGAAGTGCAGCTTGGATACCGCGCCTACGTTGAGCTGCACAAGACTGAGCCAAGCAGTCACTACCAGACACGTCAGCCTTGCGGAGATGAAGCGTACAGCATACACACATCTAACTGCAGCGTCCCAGATCCTCCCAGCGTGCAACCAATATGCGCTGCCGGTCGTATCATTCTGGGCGTGGTAGGACAGGAGAGAGAGTAGAGAAAAGCTGGATCCACGGTGCGAGCCTGGCGCGCAGTGCGGGGAGTCGTCGGAGACAATGTCGGATGCATTCCTCGCGTCCCCAGTCAAGAGCAGGGCCATGAAGTCCCAGTGCGGTGAGACCTCGAATGGCTCCGCTCTCGACGCAGGGGGCAGGAAGGAAGGGAAGAAAGGGTTCACAAGCACGTTCGCTGTGGAAGGGGCAGGAAGCAAGGCGCGAAGATCGCATTGAGACATGATTTGGGATCAAATTTCTCACGTGAGTACATGTTTGGATGCATCACGAACAAACAAGGAAAGGAAACACGCTCATATCACAAGCGTGATAGGAGCGTGGCTCAATAACAAGAAAGGTACTTTACGACTATATATGCTACCTAAGATATACGTTCGACCGAGGGTCCTTGCCCCGCGCCCTCTAAGACTTGCAGACGTTTCTGCGTTTGCGCACGGGCAGCGGCCCGGACCTTGCGGCTCGTAGGATAGCTGTTAAGAGTTATACGATGTGGAAGCGCTCGCATGATGGTGCTTACGGTACGCGCCATCGCAGCTGAGGCGGTAAGGTATTTGCAAAGACCCTGGACAGTTGTCCATCACCTAGTTGAAAAGTCTTCGGATCACTTACCCACACAGCCACAGCCCCCGGCGGCCCTCCGGCGGGGGCTCCGGGCTCGGGGGACATCCCGAGCGCACCGCCCGATTAGGCAGGGGCCCGCGGGCTGCTCGCCTAGCGTGCCCGGCTCGCTCCCGCGCTCGCCGCACGCCGCACGCGGCCTCGACCGCCTTCCCGTTTGGGTGCGGCGGTCGATCGGCGTCCTCGGGGGCGTCGCGCGCGCATGCTGCCGCTGCCGTTGCCGCCGCTGCCGCTCCCTTCGTCACTCATAGTGTATATATGCAATATAAGGTGTATATTTTGAGTATATTAAAGCACGAATACACACAAGAAAAGCACGCGAAAGGCGGCGAAAATTTTCGCCAGCGTGTCGCGCGCTTGCTAAGCAGGGTGGGGGTCGCGCCAGCATGCGTGGGCATGGACGGGGAGTGAGGCGTGGCTGTGGGTGTTAGAAAACGCTCCCATTGGGGAGCTCGTTGTGGTGACCGGCTGTGTACTCGAGTACAGCACCAGGACCCGCGTGGGAGGAGGGCGCGGCATAGTGCACGCCAGACGCGAGGGCGGCGACCGGCGGTGGATGGCGTCCCTGGAGAGCCGGCACTCCCGCAGTGATATGCAGTGCGCGCTGCACAACGGAGGCGCGGGAGAGGAGGAGGGATGGGTGGCGCGGGCTGGAGGCCCGATCGCATCGCGTGCCATTGTTTGCAGAGGGCCCGGTCTTGGTGCCTGGTGTTGCATCGCCCTCCCATACCCGCGCTGATGCCACAAGGACGTAGCGGGGGAAGCGGGGAGGCGTCGAGAGGCGGGCGAGCGCGCGCCTACAAGACGGGTCAGAGGGGAGGGACCGGCGGTGATGGTGGACGTGTGACGGGACGTACACGTTGCGCAGGTCTTTTGAGACCTGCTAAGGGAGCCGCCGTCGCGCGGGAGCAGCGCGCGCCGGGTAAGTAGCTGCACAGTGCGAGAGGCACTCTGCAGTTGCTTCCTTGGATTCGTCGTCAATGTATATACATCAGCTGTGAGTGACCACGCACCTGGAGGAGACTCCCCAGAGTCCCCCCACCCCTATCTTGAAGAGTCAATGCCCGCTGAGCCGCTGTTGAACGGCGGGCGCGCTTCGGATGAGGGCGAAACGAGAGTGAAGCGCGTTACGTCACGTCACGAACGCGCTCATTTCGAGCGCGTTCGGGACGAGACGCAGCGCGATTCTCGCGCACCCAGGCCGCAGATGAGCGTGATTCTTTGTAGATCTACGTTATCCCATGTAATAAACCACGATATGCTGTCACTGTCAAGCCCTGAGGTCAGCAACATACTAGAATAGCAGCATATTATCCAGAGATCACTTCCCTCATTTACTGTTCAGCTTAATCTATCTCATCTGAAAACTTTGAGGCTTTGAATCTACCTGGAGATTGTACAGTAAGGCTATTTAACTATGTCCCAACTTTGACTGTAGCTGAGCTAGCAAAAGAGAGCTCACAATGGCCATGTCTACCCCTTATGAAAGAGTGAAATCTGTCGAAAGCTGCAACAGAACTTTCAGTGTATAATATGATCATTTTGGGTCCTATGCCTGTTGTCTCTTCGTAAATCTAGACTATCATAGGTATGCTAATGGCTCCTGGCTTCAAATCCGCGCCGGAATGCGTCCGAGACGTCGCCGCGGTTGTCGAGCGCGTCGGCGGCGAGCCTCGGAAATCGGACCGGGACGCCGAGTCCGCGCGATCAGCCCCTTCCCATCCTCAACCACGACCGCCACCGACCGCCCGGTCGCCCCCACCCCCTTCCTTTTTCAACGACATGATCTAGAAGACCATCCAACTCACAAATCCGATATTTTCTACGTTGGAGGGGACGACATCACGCGCGGAGGCGGAGGAGCGCGAGAGGCGCGCTGCGCGCTCGCTCTCGCGCTGCAGGTGCGTGCTTACGCCCTAGCGCGTGTTCTATTTTATTAACGCGTCTTTAGAACGAGTCTGCTATATAGCTACAGCCTCGCAACTGAGGTGCGTAAGCCGCCGTCCGCCCAACACCCGCGCCGTCAACACGCCGCCACACCTTCCGCGCCTTCCAAACGCATGACGCGCGCTGCACATCTTCTCACCAACGCAAGGTCACGCAACACGTAAATATTCACCCTCCCCCCCTCCATTGCCCTCGTACGCACATACACGCGTCGGGGGAAAGCCGCTCTGAGTACCCATTGCACCGGGAATTCGCGGCTTTCCCCTCGGCCAGTGCGCATGCGAGAGGCGCTCTTCCGACACTCAAACACGTACACGCAAGCCACGCAAGTCACGTAAGGCACTCGCATGCTCAGGCGAGCCCAAGGACAACCCTAGCGTTGTGTACGCCCCCTCGTTCGTGCTTCCCGCGCCGCCCACGCCCACGAGCAGGCATCACTGCGCGGCCCGCTAGCGCTCTGCGCGCTGACGGGTGCAGCGCGGAGATGCCTATCGTTTTGCGCGAGCGCAGCGATGGGCGTGAAGACACCGGCTATCTGTAGCGTGCGTGCGACTGTACGCACGGAAGCCCCGCCACAGCGACGCACCCGCCGAGCTCCTCAGTCCATACTTAGATACAACCGTCCGTTCCCTCCCCCCCACTAGTATTCGCCCGCCTGCCCGTACATTTGCGCGAGCGCGGTGTATGCACAGAGCGCTGGCGAAATTTTCTTGCCGCGTGTATATTTACCCCCATCCTTTGCCATACAGATTATATATATTCTTTATGCTCTGTATATTATTCTCTGAAGGAGCAGCGACGACGGGGACGCGCGCGCGCGCGCGCGACGCCCCCGAGGACGCCGATCGACCGCCGCACCCAAACGGGAAGGCGGTCGAGGCCGCGTGCGGCGTGCGGCGAGCGCGGGAGCGAGCCGGGCACGCTAGGCGAGCAGCCCGCGGGCCCCTGCCTAATCGGGCGGTGCGCTCGGGATGTCCCCCGAGCCCGGAGCCCCCGCCGGAGGGCCGCCGGGGGGCTGTGGCTGTGTGGGTAAGTGATCCGAAGACTTTTCAACTAGGTGATGGACAACTGTCCAGGGTCTTTGAAAAGAGCCTTGGTTGTAATATAATGTCATCTGCACAAGGCTACAGCCATCATGTCATGTTTCAACCTCCAAGGCATAGCCATCCATGGCTCCAGCCATCAACATTGAAAATATAATTGTGCTAAAAGTGCCAAAATTAACAATGCAAGCAGCAGGGTTTGAACCCTCAGCCTTCTCATAAGAAGCGAGTGATGCTTTAACCAGCTAAGCCATTAGACCTTAGCAGGTTAAGGAACAGGAAAGTATAAGTCATTACTGTCCTGCCAACTTTTCTAACCTTTCCTCACCCTTTCTAACCTTCCTAACCTTGCTTATCAATTAGACTGTTGATAAATATATGACGTCCTTGCTACCCTAACCAACCTAACCAACCTAACCAATCTAACCAACCTAACCAACCTAACCACCTAACCACCTAACCACCTAACCACCTAACCAACCTTAACAACCTAACCATCCTAACTATCCTAACCAATAACCATTTTAACCATCCTAACCATTGTAAGCTGCCTAACCTACCTTAAATGTGCCACTGCCTGGTATGTTAAGTAGCCATCACAACACTGCCAACCTAAGACACAGTGGCTCAGTTGGTTAGAGCACCACTTTTAATGAAGAGGTCCTTGGTTCAATTCCAGGTCATGTCACTTTTATATTTCAATATAATTGACATTTGTTTTCTTTTCACCACAAGATGGCTGCAGCCATACATGGCTATGCCTTGGAGGTTGAAACATGACACAATGGCTGTAGCCATGTTCAGATTACATCTGACTCCAACTACAGGTGGTGAAAGAGCCTTTGCGTGAGATCGTCGGCCATGTTGGGGGGAGTACAAGGATACTATGAAGCCCCGCCGACCGAGGTCAGAGTCATTATCAACGGCGCGGTTTCGACAGGATGACGTGAAAGACGGGGAAGTAGCGGCTACATGAGGCGTTGTTGGACGCGCAGCAAGCTGTCGAACGCGCCTGCCTCCAAAAAACGGGGCCACGTTACGATATTCCCGCACACTAGAAGGCGTGCGGTCGATTGAGCGGCAGAGCAACGCAGAAAGTTTGGCCCGGCCGTTGAAAGTAAGGAACAGCGATCCACGCTTTAGGAGAACTTAATATCTCATATGTCACGCAAAAACTTGTAACGAGATTGCATGTCACACCAAAATCATCAACGAAGGTCAAGAATATGTCGATTCAGATACACGCGCTACGTCGATTCACAGATACACACTACGTTGGATTCACGGATACACACAAGAAGCTAGCTAGTCATACACGCGAGGGACATATGGCTGATTTTGAGGTAGACGATTGAGCAGGCCTGAGGTTAAAATAAGCATGCAGGACGAGGCGACTGGACAAGGCACGTACTTAGACGATGGAGATCATGTTCGCGCGGCGGGCGGCGTTGAAGAACTCGACAACTTCGTAGAGGTCGCGGCTGCAGAGCGTGCTCGGGCTCGAGACGCCCGTGATGGACATGCCAAAGTAGGCGCTGAGGGTATATCAGCCGATGAGAGACGACGCTAACAGAGAAGCTTACGCGTTGTTGAGGACGCCAACGAAGCGGCCGCGAGTGATGGCGTAGTACTTCGGGCCCCCGGGCCAAAAGAAGGGGGGGACGACGAGGTCCTCGTTGGGGACGACAGTGAAGCCGACTCCAACCTGCCTGATGGTGGCGTCGGAGACGACCCAAGACAGCATGTAGCCCATGCCGGCGGACGGCGCAGCACCACCAAAGACGACGCCGCCCGGGTACGCGGCTGCGGCGTTCGCCGAGGACGCGTCAGTGAAGTTGGCCGCGAAGGCCAAGGTGACTCCAGTGACCGGGGCGTGGTTGACTATGACATCGACGTCGGAGTCGGAGTCGCTGCCGCTGTTGCTACCGAGGGACGTCTGGCTCAAGTCCTCGATGTCGATATCGATGTCGCCGGAGGCGTCGACGTCGTGGGCGGCGTCCATGTCGTCAATGTCGCTGGCGGCGTCCATGTCGTCAACGTCGCTGGAGGAGTCCGTGTCGTCGACGTCGCTGGCGGAATCCATGCCATTGCCGTTGCCGAAGGCGCCCGCAAAGTTGACTTGCTCGAACTGCCCGTCCAGGGGCGAGCCGGGCTGAGGTGTGTTGGGTTCCGTGGGTACCGGGGAGTCGTTGGACAAGTCCCTCCTCACGAAGAAGAGGTCGTCCTCGTCGTGGGTGGCGTTGTCGCGGGGCTCCATCTTGAGGAGGCCGGCGGCAACGGCATCGGAGACTGCAGGAGTATGAGTGCAACGGGGCGGAAGGAGGGTAAGGGCGACGCACCGCGGGTGAAGGACATGTCGACCGTCGAAGGGGAAAGCAAGGCGAGACTAGTTCGAGCTTCACGCGTTCCAGGATATATATATCTGGTCACGATACGTACACGCAGGGGATCCTCGTACCGTCTGCCCAGAGGGGGGTTGAGCGGGAGGGTCGTGCGCCGCGCGATCTTGATCTCGAAGCCCGGTGGATCTTGCACGCCTGAAGATGTACACCCAGCGGGGAGGCAAGAGTTTTCGGCGGAGTTCTGTTTCGTCTGCGCCCTCCATATCGCATCGTCAGCCTCCACCTCAAGTACCGCCTTCAGTCGTTGCCCGACACTGTACCAAAAGCTCACCTTCAATGTTGGTTGCGGCTCGACTCAGTGTATCCGCAGTCGCTGATCATGACGCACAGATGGGCAAAAACAAATCCAAGAAGCTGAAAGAGGATCGCGAGAACAGCAAGGGCTGGGCGGACGGTGGACGCGAGGAGCTTGTGCTCCTGCCGAGTCTGGACACCTTCATCGCAGCGAGACAGCGAGGCTACGTCTCTGAGCGACGCGCCACCGCCGATATCTGCAATATGTTTCATACCTTCTTTCCGTACTGGTTGAAGGATCACGAAGAGTACGAGGGGCCGCGTCTTCCGTACGACCGTAACCAGATTTTCGACCCCTGTGCCGGAGTGCCCGAGAGCGACAAGCCGAGCGTTTGCGCGCACATCAAATGGCTGAATGATGTAAGTTATGTCATTGTATGGTCGTGCTTTGATCGGAGCTGACCTTTCCCCGTTCAGCGCATCCATCGCTGGCTCAAGTATCGCGCCGACGTCGTCCTCACGGCGCCCCACATCTCTCTGAATAATCGCAAGAACCCCCTCGTCAACCTCCTCCTCCAACTCAGCGGATTCTCGAACCCTCCACGACGTCGATCGGCAGTCCAGCAGTACCAGCGCGAGAATCACGACGCGCTTCAGCCCGTGTACGCAGCTGCCTGGGCGGAGGATCAGCTCAAGGGCACGCGCGCGGCGAAAGCTGTGCAGGACGCTCATTGGCGCGATGCTGTGGTTCTGAGGGAGTTCAAGAAGCTCGACAAGGCGGAGCAGGACGCGTACCTGGCGCGCGCAATTGCCGAGGGCAACATCGCGCGCAGCGAGTACAACAGACTGAAGAACGAGGGTCCGTCTGTGTCTCCTGAATCTCGTCAAAAGTGCGTGTTATGATTCTTGCTTTCCCTTCTAGTTCTGACGATCTTACAGAGCTATCACGCACCTCCCCGCCTTTGCCGGGAACCTCTTGCGAGGGATCCAGGCGTATACCGGGCTGCAGGCTACGCTGCTCATCGGCGGACCCATCCCCAGCGCGCAAGGAGAGCTCTGCACGTACTCTGTCTTTGCCGGCAAAAACCAAGCCGGTCAGACGTGGGCCGAGGCCGACGAAGAGGGTCTCAGCCAGGTCAAGGCGACGTATCAGAAGTACATCGCGACAGTTTACAGTGAGTACCAGCCTACTATTAGCGTCTGATCCCCCTTTTGACATGTTCTTAGCTCCGGAAGAATGCGCCGCCGCGGCCTTGGAAGTGCTCACGGCTGACGACCTCGACCTCAACGGCCTCATCCCGATGCCCCATCTGCCGACTAGTGACGATGATTCTGCCTCGGAGGATGAGTCAGCTGCAGGCTCCGACAGCGACGATGAACCTCTGCCGAACCCGAAGCGCAAGCGCTCTCGCCCTCAGACAAAAGCGGATGTGAAGGTTGCGGCGTCGAAGAAGAACACGCCGTCGGGATCGCAGTCGAAGGTGTCCGTATCGCAGGCGAAGGCGAAGGCAAAGACGCAGGCTCCCTCCACCTCTACTACCTCCAAGGCGAAGCCTTCAGCCGCCGCTACCACCTCCAAGGCGAAGAGTCCCTCTGCTACGACCACCTCCAAAAGGAAGCCTCCCGCCGCTGCCTCCCCCTCTGCAGCGTCCGTCGCGAAGGTGGTGTCGAAACCTCAGGGCGGCTTCGATGTCAGAAACCCCGCCGCCACGTACAACTCCGGCGACCCCCCGGGCGAGACTGAAGGATATCGTCGACTGGAGTGGGAGAGAGAGAAGCATAACGACTTCGTCCGGTACATGCCCAACATCGACAAGATGACGCTTATGTTGGAATGGGCGAACAACCACTATGTCGACGACACCGGCCGTGTTCGCGACAGACGCTCGGACATCGTCGATGCTGCAGATGATGCCACGGACTCCGACTCTGACTATGTCGAGGGCAAGGAGGACGCGAGTATGAAGGAGGTGCGGAAGCGGAAAGACGATAGGGCGCGAAGGCGAGGGAAGAAGTCGACTGCGGGGCCGAAGTCTGCCGACAAGACTACAGCTGGTGAGTCTCATTGACACGCATTCGCGACTATTGTACTCATAACTTCTCCCTAGACGTAATTGTGGAAAATAACCTTCCAACGACCTCATCTGCGTCCTCGCCGTCTACGCAACAGCAGCCGCCAGCACCTCCAACACCCTCTGAGCCATTCAAGAACGATCTCCCAATCGCACCATCGTCGACGTCCTCGACATCAGGATCATCGCCGTCGCTATCGAGCGAGTCCAGCAGCCCTTCCGCGTCGTCTGTGCCGCCACCGACGATGTCGAGGGTTGCATTGTCGTCGACGTTCAAGACATCGGCGCACTCGGCCACACCGCCTGCACTAGCAGTGACGTCAGCAATCTCCGGACCGGCTGTGCCGGACGCGTTGGCTGCTCGAACTCTCCCTACAGCGCTGCCTCTGCCGCCGTCGTCAACGCTCGCTCCATCGTCGGCTATGCCACCACCGTCCGCTACCGTGAGGGACGGGCTAGCCGCCATACGCGCCGCAGCAGCGAGGGTACCTTCACGCCGAGCGCCGCCGCCGCCTCCCGGCCCTCAGTTGTCTTTCTCGGCGCCTGGACCTCAGCTGAAGCCCACCCAGCTCAAGCCACCCCCTCCATCACTTCCGGGTCTCACGCAAGAGGAGTTAGACGAAGAAGACGACGATCCGATGGCAGACAAGGATGACGACGACGAGATGGAGCCAGCGGAGGAAGGCGACAAGGAGCCAGCGTCCGCGCAGGAGCTTTCGACAGCACCAGCTGAGCCTGCACCTCTACGCGGCTCACGCAAGCGCTCGGCTACGTCACTCAAGCGTCCAGCAGCCTCCTCGCATCGAAAGCGACCTCCCCCTCCCTCACAACTAACGCTCACACGTGAAGAGATGGAGGAAGAGGAAGACGACCCAGAGGCCGCTATTGATGAAGACGAGTCGCCGGCCTCCGCATCTGCCTCCGCTCATTTGAATGACATCGACATGGACGTCGGCGACCTTCCGATTTGCCCGGTGTCG